TGTACGGAGCCTAACACCCTCCGAGTAATTGATGCTACTGATGCTCCAGAAGGATTTACTATTTCAAACTGTAGAGAGGGGGTTGAAATGTAAATACCATGAGTTGGCCGCTTTAAAATAGTAAATCCTCCTGGGACCCCCTTTATAGTTTAATTACGAATTATTTTGGTTAATGTAATAAGAAGAAATAGCATTATTTTTTTAAATAAAAAAATTATTTCGGTTGGCATAATTTATAGAAAATTGTAATCAAAATCCTTAATGATGAATTTTTAAATAATTTATAATATTATAAAATAAACTAAAATTTTATCTGAGAAAGACGGAAATACTATACACATTATCTAACAATTATTTATGTAGTATTAATATACATATTATGTATGTTTTTGTATAGATACATTTTTGTATAGTAAAAAGTTCTTGAAAAGTCATATGTGTAATACATAGTACATAGTGATTATATTTATAATAGGTGTATTTATAATTTATAACTTAAAAAAACTTTGAAGAATAAATTTTAAATTAAAGAAATGTGACTGCAGTTTTCTCTGATGTTTTTTTTAGAATTAGATTATTTATTATTGATAGTGAATTAATAATAAAAGCGATATATTTATCAATAAATTCACTATTATTTTCTTAAGTCAGAGAAATTAAATGTTATTGCGTTTGACTTTTACTTTTTATGAGTTAACGGTAGAAAAAATTATTAAAAAATGTACCTATTTATTTTATTATATTTTTGTATATATATTTTACCTATTAACTAGCTGTTCCGACATTGCGTTGTTCGTGTATTAGTTTCATTTTTGGCAATTTCGATAATATTACGTGGAATTCACAATTTAATTGGGTGAGTGCTTGTTAATTGTTATAGCACTGTAAGAATAGGATCGACGATCGACAGTAAATGAACGCAACACGTTTTCACCATTTCATATTACCTTTAAAGTCTACCGTCGGTATCTCTTGTGTATCGTAACCGCGGGTCACCGATTATGTGCGACTGATTTTATTAATACGTACCTGCAGTTATATACAGCAATTAACAGTCGAAAATATATATATATATAGCTCTACATATTTGTATATATAATCTATACAAACTTTAAAAAAACCCCTCTTTTACTTCTTTAGAGATAAAATTTTGAAATTTTTTTTTAATGCGCCCCTACATAGTTTAAGTTTAAGAAACCTCTGTACAAAATTTCAAGTCTCTAGACCCAGCAGTTTGGTCTGGGCGTTAATGAGTGAATAGGGGTGGTGTTCTATATATATGTATATAGATATGAATAAATTAAATGGAATGCATACACACAAATGCCATTATTAAATATTGAATAATATATTATATATGCAGGAAAAACATAAAACCATTAGAATGTTTAATGTATTTTATCTATAGGTATAGATTTTTAATAAATTGGCATTTTTTTAGGAAAGAAAGATGAGCCACACTGACACATATAATGGCGTTTATACTTTATCATCAATAATTTTATTCAAACGTTGTCTATATAATGTACGATTCACGTTATATAAATGATAAAAGTTTGTTACAATAACTGATCATTTTTTTTAATTTTCTTATCAGGAAAAATAATTTAAGATACTGCTAATAAAATTATTTTTAACCAAATACAATGTTAACGACCTGTGACACAAATAAATCCCGTTAACAATGTTAACATACGATATTATTATATTAAAACGTTAAATAAAATAATATCAAATACAAATGACCATAGTTTATTATTTTGATACAAAACTCTTCATAATTTGATTTACAGAGAATTAAAAAAAATAAATATATATTCATCTCTAAAAAATAGTAATTAAACTATTTTATTAAAAATTACAAGTATCTAAAATTAATTTTTAAGTTGAAATTAAATATTAACAAAATTAATTTTGTTAAAAAATAGTATTAGATATGTACATTGTACATAAGCCTGTTTTTTTGATGTTTCTTCCAAATATTAAAAAAAAGTTCTTTAAATCTTACAAAGTACCAACTAAAATTTAATTATCTATCAAAAATTATCCTCAAAATATTAAATTGAATTATTATTACCGAAAAATGACGATGTTAAAATAAAAATAAAATTTTTTGTTATACCAATACATTTTATCTGAATTTAAAATATTATTAATTTACATTAATTATTTCTTTTTATTCTATACAAAAACATTTGTAAATTGTATGTATTCATTTTAAAAACGAAAAAGATGAATATTATATGTATAAAAAAATAGAAATAATATTATCAAAAGGAATTTTATTAAAACAAATATCTTGGTTGATTTTTTTTTTTTTGTTCATTGGACATTTTTATTCGACTGTTTATTACTGATGTTTGTTTTGAGACTATTGTATTTATCTATTTTTAGATCTACGGCCGTAGATTACAAAAATAAATAAACCACATGACGATATTGATGTTTTTGAGAAAAATGCATTAAAACCTTTCGTCTAAACTACAAATATTTTTAACTGGTTACATCTACCTAAACATAAACCACTGAGATTTTAACGTGTATAAAATATCACATTATTAAATATATAGATTATTTATTAAATAGGAGCTGTGGTTACATATATTTAAAATATAAAACAAGATGTAATAATATTTAGTCTACAACTTATCATACTCATTTAATTTTCACAAATTATGAAATACTTATAAATATTGACTATCATAATATACAATATGGTTTAAAAATCTTGTGAAGTTTATTATATTATCAGTACATTGAATCGAATAGTTCAAAAACTAATTGTTTGACTTATAAACTAGATAAACAAAAATTAAAATATTAATGTTCTTCATAAGTTACTGTAAAAATTGATAGAATTCATTTAGAAATTTTTATCATTATAGGATGAATTCAGGGTTTTAGACATTTTATTAAATGTAAGGTTAGTTTGGATATGCTTGATAAATCACCTTGTGTAGTTAACGTGTTGTTTTTGTCCTTAAAATAATATTATTTAGACGAAACAGGTATTGCAACGAATCGAGAAAATAATAATTGTATTGTGCACAATCTGATTTTAAAAAGTTCAACAAGAATTCAAATGGAAATTTATGTGTGGCTTTTATCTTATAATTTTGTTTTGACCTCTGTCTATAAAGATATATTAGTTTCCCCATTAAGCACCCATCATACTTTGATTCTTTTCACCGTATTATTACTTTTGACGTATCGTGTACGTTCAAAGCATTTTGAGTGTATTCATTTCTTAGTTTGTCTATTCATATCACACCCCTTATAATGCATCTCGTTATCTACATGGTCTCATCTATTCACTGAAAACATATTCTGGGAAACTGATTTTATTACATACCATAATGATGTCGGGACATAATGTTAAACATACCTCAATGACTTGGTATAATATTATAGTTACATTCATTTTACATTTTCTACATTATTTAAATATCGTATTTGGTTAAAACAAATTTTTATTACACTCAAATAACATAAATAGATAAAATGTTTGAAAACCGTTGTGAATTTAAGTGAAAGAATCAATTATACACACTTAAATATGTTTCTGAAATTAAATGAAAATATTATTCGATATATATTATAATGAATAAATTAATTTGATGCAATTTAAAAATGTATAAATATTTAGTTACACTTCTAAAAACAATGAGAAAAATTTATTATATTCGTTTGAGGATAAATTATAATAACAAGCAGTTTGACTTTTATTACTCATGGTGTTATTTTGAATTAAATATAATTTAAGACTATAAATAATAATTATATATTTTCAAAAAATAAAGAACTGGATTCATGTTTTTAAATTTAAAGCTAAGTTTAATTGGCCTTGGAATTTTGGTTGATAATTGAAACGATATTTTTGGTTTAAGTATATTATTATAATTATTGATAATAATTTTTGTTGTTTGACTTTATTCTATTTATGTACACAATAAATAAAACTTCACCACAACCGATATGTTCGTATAAATAATAATACATTAAACAATAACCATAATGTTTTATAACCTTATTCTAATGATCCACCTATAGCAATATCACCACTTTCATAATTTTGATAAGATAGTAGGTCGTAATACGGCGCATTGTATATGCAATTTTGATGTTTGCATGTGTAGCGTAACGAATAAAATAATATAAATCGACTATACAATAATATAATATGTTAAAAAGTATTTTAATTTTAATTAATACTAAAGATTATTCTTTCATATATTTAATATTTACAGACGTGTGTTTTATAAATCATTTTTGATTCTCGTCACTGTCCTAAAAAGGTTTTTAAATGATAAATAAACATACATCTTCTTAGTATTATAAAGATAATAATAATAATAAAATACAAACATAGTATAAAATGTAACTATAATATAATATTTTGCTTCAAGATAATACTTAATATACACGATCTCTAAAAAAACTTCAATTAGTTACCATGAAACTGGATTCTAAAGTAAATCCTTAAGTTATTCTTAATTTCAAAAAGAAATATGTCAACAAATATATTATGCTTATTTAAGTTTGTTACTATTACATAATTGGACTTAAATAAAAATGTTATTTAAATTAATTTTTCATTCATTTATTAAAACTATTTAGTTATTTAAAAACTGACAAATTAAAAAAAAAAAAATATGTATATTTTTAAGTTTTAAATTCTATTCATATAAAATAAATTCGTATATGATAATACTTATGAGCGTATGACGTATATTTGATTAGTGACACGAATATTTTTCATGTTATTTTTGTAAATTGTTAAGACAACGGATTATGATTTTTTTAAATCAAAATATTATTTATGTTATACTAATGTGTTTTGCTTCTTGGTTGATTTTGCATGAATAAACATTGTCACAATATTAGAGTTTTTAATTAATACAAATAAATATATATATAGATACAAAAAAAAAAAAAAGTAAAAACAACAATAAATTTAAATACGTCATTATTTATAGACTTTGTTTACATGTTTTAAACAGAGTATGGATACCGAAGACGACGAAGACAATAAATCACGTCACGAGTGTATTGAATTTGGAACGGGCCACAAATAAATGGAAATAACCGAATAAAATCGATCATATTAAGTAACTATGACAATCACTTCGGTACAGTGGATGTGTTGTGGTATCGTGTTGCTGGTGGCTCTGTGTTCAGGTGGTCGGCAATACGGAACACGAAAAATTAGACACGATCACAAAAGCCAGGACGAGGGGACGCAACCAGACATCGATTTTGAATTTGAAACGACCAAAGGTTTTCAATTTGAAAACATCGGAGATTACGACGATCCATCCGAAGAAGGGATCACTTTGGACGTCATTCACAGTTTGTACGATACCAGGAAAGGTGTCGTGCCCAATATAATTTATCAAGGTAAGTATCTCATGTAAGACTTTTATCAATTAATAATATATACAGTATAAAATTAATTAATAATAGTAATAATATATAATATAATTAATGTCTTGGCATCACATTGTTTTTATTTTTTTAAATATATTGGAATGTTAACGAATGAAATTATTTCATAAACTTTTTATAAACTGCCAAAATAAATATTTGAAGTTAATAGATTTTGAACGAAAAATGGGAGACTATAATTGTATTTCTTAACGGCATGTTTCTTTGTAAAAATTATTTTTAATGTCATAAACATTTTTAAAAAATTTAGAGCATATGTTTCTAAATTTAAATGGCTGTAGATTATACTATAAAATAAATTTTAAAAATGTTACATTACCTTGTTAATAAATTAAAATAAAACTGTATGAATAAATCCTGCAGTTGTTAAAAAATGAGTCCCGAAAATAAAATAAACTAAACATTATTAGTTAATTTATACTAATAACTGAATAAATTGCGATAAAAATACGTGAATTATATTCAGATTTAATAGTACATCAAAATATTTAGTATTAAGTATTTTGGAGTGGGTCAGTATAATATTCTTATCGTTTAAAGTCTTATTAAATTAATCTTTTAGAAGTATCAATTCTTATACGAGTTAACTAATAACGAAAGTAGATTAGGAATTTAATTATATGGAATCGGGCTATCTGTGTAATATAAATTTGGATGATTTTCATTTAGTTTTGTATTACATAATTATTCATTATTATATTGAATCTATTCCCAATTAAATTCGAATAATCCAAAAATAGTAAAGATTTTGTTAAAAACTGTTGTTGGCTTCTGTTTTTTAATTTTTTTTTTGGTTGAAGTTTTTCGTTTTTATTGTATGCTATTTTTTTTATTCGAAATAAAATCTAAAAAATATTCATTAGTATAGTATGTATTGTTAATATTCACGTTTATAGAGCTCGTAAAATTCGTGAATATTTACTTAACTCATAATTTATTTATAAACAATTTATAAATTAATATATTATATTAATTATAATTCGTAGACCATTTGTGTTAATGAACACAATACTATTATGCTTTATGTGTAATTGCACCGTACTGTTCAATTTTATTTGACTGGATCTTGGTATGTTCGCTGTAGGGAGCACTTGCAGATGAAGGTTTCCATTAAAAATGTACCTTCCCCATTTCCACCAATTTCCATTACCCCTAATTATCATTATTTATCACTAATTCTACTATTTTCTGCTTCCAATAAAAGTGCACCTTACATTTTTCCCACCAATACCATATTAATAAAATTAGATATTGATTTGTTCATTAGTCAATTGTCAAAATCAAATTTTGGGGATAAGTACACTTAGTGGAAACATATTAAGTAGTTATATTCACCGGTATAGAAATACTGAACAATTTGTAGATCACTCAGTTTTCAGTATGAAAAGATTAACGTTAATAGTTTACCAAAACAGTCCTTTAAATTTAACTAAGGTAATTTTACCAATTACATGCATATTAGTTATTATAAAGTTCTAATATTATAAAAACAATTCAGAATTAATACATTTGTTAAAAAAGTATAACATCGCACAAGCATGAGTACATTCGGGGTAGTATGATTAAGAAGCCTCATGACTCAAATTTTGAGTTCTGGACGTTGTTACTGGTTTAAATTTACTGCATTTAAGTAACACAAAGGCACTATTAATTTCACTATCATCTTGTGGTATAAGAAGGGTCCATATAATGTATAAGCACGATGTTTTTAGAAGTTTTGGTTATGTGGGCTTGGTATATTTTGTTTGATATTGGTTATGATTGTTTTACATGGGATATTGGTAAACGCTGTAATCACATATTAGTCAAGTTAGCCGATAACATGAATTCATCAATTAGGAAGTATGTTTCACATGGATACGTAAATATAGAAGAAGTGGAAGATCATCTTAAATCTTAACATATAAGATATTCAAATGCGTTCGAGTCACATGCATTCAAGTATGCATTATGTATAGAGCAAGTGATGTACTCAGTATACTTATACATAAAAATAAATATGATAAGCATATGCGCATTATATAAATATATATTTGACGATTGAAGTGTTGAGATTTTTGTTTTTAATTGAGTGGATACTAGTTTAGTAGATACAATCTTAAAAAACTAGCGTGAAAGTATAATTTTATTAAGCTATTTTTATTATTTTATATTTTTATATATAAAATTATGAAATAAGTATTTAAATATTCAATTTATATGACCATGGTCTTAATGACCATTAAGACGGCGAGTAGCGAATTTAATTTAAAGATATAAGTGCAGAGTACGTTTTGTTACGTTGAAAAGACTACTATAGCGACCGTATAATGTACAATAATATGCATATATGCAAATTGTTCTATTATTGTTTAAATAAAATTATCATAATATACTACATAATTTCTCAGCGATGATAATATATTACGTAGATGTTGTATTACATATTAATACTACGTAATATATCATTAAACTTAAAATTCATTGAAAGTTTCGTGTTTGTTATACGTTGATGAAATTTTAAATGTACTATGTTTATATTATCTATTGATTTAGTGACTATTAATAATGAGGATACAATTAAATAATAATTGTTTTCGATCATTAATTCATTGAAATAAAAAAATTAGAGTAAACCACATGCTGTTATTGTTTATTTTTATAAAATAATTTCATTTATTCTATGCCATTTAACATTCTTTTGTGCCAGGTTTTTCATATTTTTTGTCTTTGTTTCTAATACCAATGACAGAAGCATATTTAAGAAATCAATAAATGAGTTGAAGAATTATAATTAAATTATATTTCATCATAAATATTTTCATAACCATCAATGATGGGAATTTGATCAAAACTTTAATAATAATAAAAAAAAAAATTGAAAATAATAATGTTTAAACATAAAAGCACATAAATTGAGTTCGGTAACTTAACCTTTTTTTGTGTATAAATGTATTAAACTGACACGCGGTTACATTATATATTCTTGTACAGAAAAACTAAAGTTCACCGACTTTACCTATTTTTTTATTAAATTATTTTTTTATTTTATTGTGTTGTACATACAATCAAAATTTTTAATCCTGTTTTATTTATACATAAATGTCTTGTATCACGATAAAACGTATAATATATCGATTTCAACTGCGTGTAAATGAAAAATAAAAACAACAGAAGTTTATATATTATTATACAATTAAAAGATACATTTTTAACTACTATAAAAAACCAAGTTGCTGTAAAATATATATAACCATTTGCAGTTTAGGGTAGAAACACAAAATATGAAAAAAAAAAATTTAGAAATATCGCATTATTTTCATGTAAGGTGTTCTAAATTATTTAACAAAGTAAAAAACACACACTTTTAGTCAAGAATTTAAATTTAAAAAATCTATTCATAGTAACTTTAATCGCTTAACCAATATATAGCCTTAAATAATAATAGCCTTTTATGAGTGATCTGTTATTTAAAATGTGAAATCTATAACAACATTTTTTGATGCATTTTATCCTCGATTATGTGTGGCTTACAAAAATATTACCTTAAACAATATAAAACCATATCATACAGGCATTTTTAATTTTTAGAGGATTCTTCAATTAAAGTACATAGAGCACGCGCATTTACACTAAGAAAGTTTTAATTAAAAATTATAAAAATTATATTGCACTTTATCTCGACTGGTTTATTTTTTACTGAAAATAATTTGATAATTTTTCTACAGAACGCTTTAATGTTATTACTACGAAGCATGTTTATTGGTTGTTTAATAAAAATAAAATCATTTTTGATAAGAAAATAAAATGAATACCTCTAAATGTTGAACTTTGCGAATAATATAATATTAAATATAAATGATTAGCGTTATTAAAAACAAAAATTATATTTTAATTTTTTTTTTCCAGGAAAACTGTTTATCTGTTTCTCATGGTTTTAATATATTCATACGCACCTATGATAAGTATTATAAAATAAAGGCACCCGATTTCCACTGTTCTAAATAATAATATATTATGTATATGCGTATTAAAATTTCCATTTGAAAAGTTTCAAAATGCCCAGTGACCTTTCGTACCACTTAAGCATTGACAAAAAAAGTTAACATTATAATATATTAATATTTTACCTACACTAGTTTTACTCCACGGAGGGAGGGGTTGAAAATAATCGTATAAAAGAGTTTCAACTTCCGGAACACAAGTATGACGTTCTGGGCCATTACTGTGTTGTTTTTGTGTTCGTTTAAATATATATATATATTTATACAAAATTTATTACACATACTGCATTGGTCGACAACCGAATAGAAACGAAAAATAATGTTCAATCTGAACGTTTTAGGAGGGTAAAACTCAGATGTATTTCGAAAAAATGAAAAAAAAATTGAATCAAAATCGCAAATGTATATGTATAACTTTATATAAAACAATAAATATACTATATATAATATGAACAAAGCTACCAGCAATGATGTTATTCTAGTGGTCTCTTGTGGCATTTTTTTATACGCGTCTTCACCCTCATTGCCGAAAGAAAACAGACCTATTAACATTTTAAAAATCTTTGAATGTTCGTAAAAATGAGAAAGAAAAAAATACATTGTCCTTTTGTATGTATTTAAACACATTATTATGTATAAAACAAAAAATCAAGAAAAAGAACACGCACAAAAACTAGGTCAACTAAAATTAATGTTGCTCATAATAAAGCACCACTGAGATTTATCCAGTAGATTAAGTATAGGACCACCGCCAAACTCACATAAAACACGACTATGGTTTTATATGCACACCGTTTCCGAATTTACTACGACCCAAATAGTCGGCTACTGGTGACCTTGAGTAGCAGGTATGTTAATTTTTTCGATCGTGACACTGTACTTGTAGTAATTGACTAAGAGTTTTGTCAATAACATTAAATTACTATTCGTTCCAAAGCCCCATTTTAAAATGACAGTTTTGAATTTATG